TTTCCTGTAGACTTTGCTTGTTCTTCTCATTTTAATGGAGTGTCCGGGTCGATGGGAGAGTGGTTTGGCAATTAGTTTATCGCCTCTATTCTAGATATGGTAAATCAACTCCCACTGAATAGATCACTGCCCATTGATCCAGGGGACAGTGAAGACATGCCCTTAGTTGTGATGCTGGGAGTACATTTCTCAAGCCCAATAAGAGCTCTGTGTGGCTAAATGCCTGTCTCTCTCACCAACAGAATTTGGTCAAACAAAGGATATTACCTCATCCCCTTCCCACATCACTCTAATATCCTAGGACTGACATGGCTACAGCAACTCTACAGACGCATTAAACACAAATCCCTTAACTTTATAGTGACAATATAAAGCTATTTTCTAATGCCCCAAATAGAGGTTCTCCTGCCAATATGCAAGCAACATTTTACAGGTAAGAAAATAATGCAAGATACCTTAGTAATTAACTCCAATTTAGAGTCAATTACTACAGGAGTATAGTATAGTATAGTATAGTATAGTATAGTATAGTATAGTATAGTATAGTATAGTATTTCACTGCAGAAAATTATTATAAAAATGCACAATTGTATTTGAGCATATATTCCTAATTAGTTTCTTATCTAGGAACTTATAGTGTCCACATCACTGGTCTACTTCTTTGAACAAAAAACAAAACAAAAACTGCTTCTCTCTTTACTTAGTATCTGTCCTGACAGGTTCTTTCTATGAAGAACAAATTCAGGTAACTTTAAGGTTTACTTTTTTGAAGTTAGTCAGATAATTGATCTAATTGCAATTCAAATATGTCATTACATATATATAAAAAAACATAACTACACTTCTCCACTTCACAATCTAGCAAGATTAAAGGCTGATCAAGAGTGGCATATGCATACCTATTCCCACACACAGTTGTCTGCTCCCCTAAGCAGACATTCTGAAGGACTAATCTAAATATTAACTGCTACATTCCATAAAAATGTTGGTAGTGATACAACTGGACTAGTTGACAGGCTTATATACAGGCAGTCCCCGACTTACGCGGATCCGACTTATGTCGGATCCGCAGTTACGAATGGGGCTGCCCTCGCGGTCCTGCCGCCCGTGTACTCTGGGGCTTTGCTCTGCGTCTCCCTGGTGCCCCAGAGAGGGTGGACCGAAGACAATGATCAAGCGATTTGTCTCCTGCCATCCCTCTCCAGCCTCTGACAGAGGCCAAGAACACCATTTTATCCCCTGGCTAATAGCCTTTTATGGACCTAACCTCCATGAAATTATCTAGCTTCTCTTTAAACTCTATTATAGTCCTAGCCTTCACAGCCTCCTCTGGCAAGGAGTTCCACAGGTTGACAACACGCTGTGTGAAGAAGAACTTCCTTTTATTAGTTTTAAACCTGCTATCCATTAATTTCATTTGGTGTCCTCTAGTTCTTCTATTATGGGAACTAATAAATAACTTTTCTTTATCAGCCCTCTCCACACCACTCATGATTTTATAGACCTCTATCATATCCCCCCTCAGTCTCCTCTTTTCTAAACTGAAAAGTCCCAGTCGCTTTAACCTCTCCTCATATGGGACCCGTTCCAAACCCCTAATCATTTTAGTTGCCCTTTTCTGAACCCTTTCCAAGGCCAAAATATCTTTTTTGAGGTGAGGAGACCACATCTGTACACAGTATTCAAGATGTGGGCGTACCATAGTTTTATACAGGGGCAGTAAGATATTCTGGGTCTTATTTTCTATCCCTTTCCTAATAATTCCTAGCATCCTATTTGCCTTTTTGACCGCCGCTGCACACTGTGTGGAAGTTTTCAGAGAACTGTCCACGATAACTCCAAGATCTCTTTCCTGATTTGTTGTAGCCAAATTAGCCCCCATCATACTGTACGTATAGTTGGGGTTATTTTTCCCGATGTGCATTACTTTACACTTATCCACATTAAATTTCATTTGCCATTTTGTTGCCCAATCACTCAGTTTGGTGAGATCTTCTTGGAGTCCCTCACAGTCTGCTTCTGTCTTGACTATCCTAAACAGTTTGGTATCATCTGCAAACTTTACTACCTCACTGCTTACCCCTTTCTCCAGATCATTTATGAATAAGTTGAAAAGGATTGGTCCCAGGACTGATCCTTGGGGTACACCACTAGTTACCCCTCTCCAATCTGAAAATTTACCATTTATTCCTACCCTTTGTTTCCTGTCTTTTAGCCAGTTCTCAATCCAAGAAAGGACCTTCCCTCTTATCCCATGGCCATGTAATTTACACAAGAGCCTTTGGTGAGGGACCTTGTCAAAGGCTTTCTGAAAATCCAAGTATACTATATCTACTGGATCCCCCTTGTCCGCATGTTTGTTAACCCCTTCAAAGAACTCTAATAGATTAGTAAGACAGGATTTCCCTTTACAGAAACCATGTTGACTTTTGTCCAATAAATTATGTTCTTCTACATGCTTCACAATTTTATTCTTTACTATTGTTTTGACTAATTTGCCCGGTACTGAAGTTAGACTTACCGGTCTGTAATTGGGAGCCCTTTTTAAATATTGGTGTCACGTTGGCTACCTTCCAGTTTTAAAGGATAGGTTACAAACCACAGATAATAGCTCAGCAATTTCCTATTTGAGTTCTTTTAGAACCCTTGGATGAATGCCATCCGGTCCCGGAGATTTGTTAACATTAAGTTTTTCTATTTGTTCCAAAACCTCCTCTAATGACACTTCAATCCGGGACAGTTCCTCAGATTCATCACCCACAAAGGACGGTGCAGATTCAGGAATCTCCCCAACGTCCTCAGCCGTGAAGACTGAAGCAAAGAAATCATTTAGTTTCTCTGCAATGGCTTTATTGTCCTTGATTGCTCCTTTTATAGCTCGATCATCTAGGGGACCCTCAGGCTTTTTAGCAGGCTTCCTGCTTCTAATGTACTTAAAAAACATTTTATTTCTTTTTGAGTTTTTGGCTAGCTGTTCCTCAAAATCTTTTTTTGCTTTTCTTATTACATGTTTACACTTGATTTGACAGTGTTTCTGTTCCTTTCTATTTATCTCACTAGGATTGGACTTCCACTTCTTAAAAGATACCTTTTTGTCCCTCACTGCTTCTTTTACATGGTGGTTAAGCCACGGTGACTCTTTTTTAGGTCTCTTGCTATGTTTTTTAATTTGGGGTATACATTTAAGTTGGGCCTCTATTATGGTGTCTTTAAAAAGTTTCCATGCAGCTTGCAGGGATTTGGCTCTAGTCACTGTGCCTTTTAATTTCTGTTTAACTAACCTCCTCATTTTTGTATAATTCCCCTTTTTGAAATTAAATGCCAGGGTGCTGGACTGCTGAGGTGTTCTTCCCACCACAGGAATGTTGAATGTTATTATATTATGGTCACTATTCCCAAGCGGTCCTGTAACGGTTATTTCCTGGACCTGATCCTGCGCTCCACTCAGGACTAAATCGAGAATTGCCTCTCCCCTTGTGGGTTCCTGCACCAGCTGCTCCAAGAAGCAGTCATTTAAGCCATTGAGAAATTTTATCTCCGCTTCTTTTCCTGAGGTGCCATGTATCCAATCAATAATAAAATTCCCCATTATAATAGAGTTCTTTATTTTGGTAGCCTCCCTAATCTCCCTCAGCATTTCAATGTCAGTATCATGCCAGTGTAGACGCAGTCCCTGGGTATGTCTACACTCGAAATGTGCATGACCCTGTATTAGGCTGACTTACAGCAATGATGGTAATTATTGTGGTGTTGCATGTCCACACTGCTCTCATTGGGTTGGTGATGCACACCAACACCAGGAGCATTTCCACCAACCTGAGGGTACAGTGAGGAGCAGTTCTGGGAGCTGGGCAGCTTTGTCAATTTCATGGATCATCCTGCTGGGGCTTCTCTCTCCCACTCCCAGCCAGAAACAGGGCCCATTCACTCTGAAACACAGGCAGCTGGACTCTATCTGTCTGTGTCATCATGGTATTTATACAGATGCTATGCTGACCTAACTACATTAACATAATAACTGTACCTCCACAAGAGGTGTAAGGTTTATGTAAGGCACTTACATAGATGGGAGGAAGGCTGTAGACACTGACATAATTTGGTCAACATAAGCTGCCTTATACCTGTGTAGTATAGACTAGCCCATAGTATTTATCAGTAGACTAAATCCCTATTACTCATTGGTAGAGCAGTCATTTGCCTGCCACTGCTCAGGAGAATGCAAAGTAAATGCAGAAAAAAAGTAAATTGAGTTTCTAATATTTATATAGTTTTAATTATCTAAAGGAATTTTAGCAACCAAGATAAATAAATGTGTTTATTTAATTGGCAAAGGCAGCAAACTTTTCACTGAAAGCTGCTTTTCAAAGATTTTCTACCAAATATTACGAACAACAATATCCATGACAACTTTGTTTCTAGGGCCTCAAACTGACCCTTAAGTCTTGTATAACCACTGTTGGCAGGAACAGCAATAGCCAAAACAGAGATGATCTAATTTTATAAGCTTCTCATTACCAGCTTTCACTTACAATACTTTGTCAAAATTTTTCCCTTTACAATTATTTTCCAAGTACACAGAAGCAGAGAGGCCTTTGGCAACAGACTCACCCTCAAACAGCCTAGAAGAAGCTTAGTTCTTTGCATACGGCATGCAATACAGGTGTCCCTGCAAGGTATTTATTCTTTGCCCCTCCCTCTCTCCCTGTGCACAGCTCTCGTGGTAAGGTTTAAATATCACCATGAAAAGCAAACATGGGGTTGGGACCCTGACCAACTGTAAGTACACAACAGCACTGTCTCCAGAAAGAGAAAACAATGCTACTAATGTTCAAATTTAGCTATTGCTTTTACTCAGGTATTCTGTTACACAGCATCACAGCAGTTCTCAGAGGAGGCTATGGCCCAGGGAAGTTTACAGGATTTTTGCTATTGAATTCAATGGCAGCAAGAGCAATCCTTACATAGCAATCAAAATGATAACAACCTGTTTGAAGACTTACCACTGAAACAGGTTCCATAGCTTCTTGTTTGATAGGGACTGGGTCAAACATTAGCATCTTTTCAGTGAAATCTTCTGGTGTCTGTGTTGTCCTGGGCTACAGGGAGGGGGGAAAATTGAAGTTGTAAGAATGGCTAGAATTAAATTTTTCAATTTTTTTGAACCCTGTAAAATTAAATGCATTTGATTTAATTCTTCCAAATCTAGAGAAAAGCTTTGTGTTTTCAAAAATTCTATTATAATAAAACTGGCTAGTGGTATGATATAAAAGTTACTTTGTAATTTCAGGAAACCCTATGATCAGACTACATTTAGGCATAGTCCAGTGGGTTATCTGTCAAAAAGTATTAAATAGGCATTCCATATGCCTTTTTTCAATAAAAATAACAATGAATTTATGAATGGAAAATTGTCATTAAACAAACAATGCATAAGGTATGAAATATCCAACTGTGTCTAACAGATCTTGTCAAAACATCTTTCAAAATGCGCTTCGAAACCATTCCAGTGTTATCATTTACAATGAGCCCAGTGCAATTGTCATGAAAAGGCATCCACCAACTTCATCAATAGAAGCTTGTTTGAGCTCTTAAAGTGCACATAAGCACATCTACAGTATGGAGTTCCAGCTTTAATTAGCTGTCATTATGCTGTGTGTTGTGGAAGACCTATCCTAGCTCAGACCATGCATTTTTCTATCATTCCAAACTACTATTAATTTTTTTCTTTAGCCAAAGATAGAGAGAACATAAATAGATCTGAATCAGATTCAGGAAGGATGGCATCCTACTTGCCAGTTTGCTATCAGTCACGCTGATTGGAATGTTAATAACACTCTGGTATTTTGACACCTCCTACCACACAAGGAGGAAATTAAAAAACAAGCTAATTGGGAGAGAGATGACAGACTTCCAATCAGACATCTAAACTGATTATTCAACTATTTTACCAAAAGGAACAATGACAACTCAGCCATTATTTTGAAACAATGGTACATTTCCATGAGTTTTCCTTATGAAAAACAATATTTCAGAATTTAGATTGTGTTCTGTGTAGCCCAAACTATTTTGCTAGCTTGTTCAAGCCTATTTTCAAGTCTTTCTGCAATAAAAGTATCTCATATATAACTACTTAAATATCCCAGATAATAACCATATTTACACATTTGCCAAAGGCGACCATCGTGGAAGAAGGATAGGAAGACCAGGAGCCTTCAGAGTGAGACAGAGAAATACAAGAAAGAAAACACAGTAAAGCCAAATATTTTAGGCAAGTGAAAGAAGTTAATATTTAAAGACATTTGGCAAATTTTTAAAAAAGCATTTTATCTCATTTATGAGAATGCAGAGCCACAAATAAAATCTTCCAGAGTATAGCCTGGAGGTCTAGCACAGTATTCCAGATAACAAGGAGAGTATGAGACACAACTTCACCAACTCAGACAAACTTAATGTCTTGTGCAAATCTTGTAGTGGTGTTGGTCCCATAATATTAGAGACACAGGATGACAGAGAGAATATCTTTCATTGGACCAACATCTATTGGTGAGAGACACACTTTTGAACTTACACGGAGCTCTTGAAGAGCCTGAAAGCTTGCCTCTCTCATCAAAAGAATTTGGTTTAATAAAAGGTATTCACTCATTCACCATATCTCTGTATAGTGTGTGTATATCTATCAGTCTCAATACAGACTGCTGTTTAAGTACTGTACTGTATTAACAAATTCAATTGCATCCAGTAGGTGGCACTAGAAACTCATAACAAATAAAATGCTACCATACTCCATTAAGACAATTCCAGAGAGTAAGCTTAAGGTTCACTAAAGCTATGTCTATACTGCAATGCTATTTTGGAATAGCAGAGTATCCTGAAATAGCTATCCGATATCTTCACAGCAAGACCAATATTTTGAAATATCATGGGCTCGCTATTCCAATGTCCTTCTAAACCTCATTCCATGAGGAATAAGGAACATTTCAGAATAGCAATTTATTTTGAAGTAAGTGCTGTGTAGACAGCTTGTTTTGGAATTTGGTGCTATTTCAAAATTGACTCAAAATAAGCTACGCAATTTACATAGCTACGCAATTTACATAGGAGCTACAGGTGCATCCTAATATATTAAAAGGTTTAATTGGGCCTGGAATTTTCTTATGAAAAACCCAATTTAAATGGAACACCAGAATATATGTACCCCCAAATTAGATCAATTCCAGTAGTTCCACATTAATGAAGAATCATGCAGTAGTCAATCAGTGTGTATGCACTGGAGAAAACAATTTGAGATACATGAGAGAAAGAAAAGGAATGAATTATTCCAAGCCTACCTACGATTACTTTTTCCCTTGATTTGTAAAGTTTACTAATTTATGGAAATACCACCACAATATACTTTCTACATTCTTGAAATGAACAAAGCTCTGAATATAATCATTCTAATAAATAGGAAGGATCTGATTTAAAACAAGCTGAGAAAAAGAGAAACAAATACAGTAGTTCAAAGAAATTGCCAGTTTTGCCTAAATTAAAAGCAACAGCTTTGAAAGACAGAAAGTTTTATAATTTAAATGTGTCTATGTACATTTGTCAATAATGCCTGTGAGCAAGTTGAAAAGCAATTATGCAGCCTTTCCTACAACTTCAGGGAATAATTGACATTAGATTTCGTTGTTGTTTTAAGCATTTCCTATAATCTTCTAAGAAATTAAATATTCCTAATCACCTTCTTGTGAAGGAACTTTGTATATACATGACTTCCCAAAGGCATGAATACATACATCTATCAATACAAGAAGACAGAGAAGGAATATTCTACAATGCAATAAAATAACCCAAGCCTACAGTACAGAACAGTACATGCCAGTCCTCATATATATGAGAATTTGTAAATATTTTCTTTCAAAGGTTTCCAGAAACTTTACATTTTTTAATTTAAATTTGTTTTGGTAAAGTGACATCATCAACTTGTAATCTAGTCACTTGAAAGAAAAAAGGTTTAGTGGTTTCAAATAATCACCTCTACCCCTTCCATTTTTTATAGTTTTATTTTTTGGGTGGTGACGGGGAGGGTGGAGGATATCACATTTTTCAGGTTTTTCTCTCCTGCAGCTGTGAAAGTCCCATTTCTGCAAACACTTCACCATACACATATTTGAAAATTCGGGCCTGCTTGTATAGATGTTAGAATGAAACTGACAACAGAAAGTGTCTTAGAGAGTAAAAATGAAACGTTCTCTCTTTCATTTATAGTTACCTGGAAGAATACAGGCAGTCCCCGGGTTACATACAAGATAGGGACTGTAGGTTTGTTCTTAAGTTGAATTTGTATGTAAGTCGGAACTGGTACATATTGTAGGGGAAACTCTAGCCAAACATTTCTCCAGAGCTCAATTTTATTCTCCCACACCTCACTTCCCTCAGGGTATGTCTACACTACCACCCTAGTTCGAACTAGGGTGATTAATGTAGGCAACCGGAGTTGCAAATGAAGCCCGGGATTTGAATTTCCCGGGCTTCATTTGCATATTGCCGGGTGCCGCCATTTTTAAATGTCCGCTAGTTCGGACTCTGTGCCCGTGGCTTCACGTGGCATGAACTAGATAGTTCGGATTAGGCTTCCTATTCCGAACTACCGGTACACCTCGTGGAACGAGGTGTACCGGTAGTTCGGAATAGGAAGCCTAATCCGAACTATCTAGTTCATGCCACGTGAAGCCACGGGCACAGAGTCCGAACTAGCGGACATTTAAAAATGGCGGCGCCCGGCAATGTGCAAATGAAGCCCGGGAAATTCAAATCCCGGGCTTCATTTGCAACTCCGGTTGCCTACATTAATCACCCTAGTTCGAACTAGGGTGGTAGTGTAGACATACCCTCAGTCCTTTATTCTCAAGCTGAGGTGTCTGCTGAGAAAAGCCGCTCCGCGTCTCCCTGGTCTGTTGGGGGGAAGCAGCAAGTGCGGGGTTGCCTCACCCCGTTTGTAAGTAGGGATCCGATGTAAGTCGGATCCATGTAACCCGGGGACTACCTGTATACAAAAGGTTTACTTTTATTGCTATGTATTAGTATACAAGTTGAGTATTCTTTTCATTTGTTATACTGTTCTTTTACTATACTATTTCCACCTAAATAGTAAGAGGAGCACATTTTGGGCAGAGAAAAATACATGATACATGATCTTTTGGTCCTGCAAGGCAGGGTTATATGTCTGTACTTGGTGTAATATGGTGCAGCTTCCCAGGAACCAGTTTATACCAGCTGAAGGGCTGACACTTAAGAACTTGTTCTGGAATTAACTAAGGGAGAAAATAAACCTATGGAATAATGATCTGTGTATTTAAAAGAACAATGCGACAATGAAAGAAAGACACAGTGATTGTGAGGCCTAAACGTATTTAAAGTAAACAAAAAAAATGTATTTTGGTATTTATGATAATATTTTATAGTAAAGGTTTTGTAGCATACTTGTTTCACACCCCACATTTTTGGTAAATAAGATGGATAGAAAATTAAAGTATCCTCTTAAGTACCTGGGGTACCCTTCAGATAGCAAAACGAGGAGAAACCATAAAATTAACACAAAGCATATTTTAAAAAAATCATAAAAAGTAGTCTTATCTTTTTTCAAATTAGAGAGCTATTTTGCATTGAAGTATTTTATGTGAATAAAAGAATTTTGTGCTGTATGCACTCTGAAACTCAATAATTAACAGCAATCCAGTAAGCAAACATTCCACCCTCTCTCTCTCTCTTTGCTAACAAGCCACCCAGTTTTACTTTCCTGCCTCCTCCCATTCACTCCACCCTATGGATCTTTGCCAAGGCAGTCCAACTTGTCCAAACAGGACACAGCTTTTGATAAGATTCTGCTCACACCCTGTATTTCTAAAAGACAAGTCAAGCAATTTATTTTTGTATGCAAATAAAGACAGGTGCAAAGGTAAAGTCTAAGCAAAGTCCCTCAACATTTCCACAGCTAAAGCCAAGCAAAAAAGAGACAGCACATTTAAAAAAAAAAAAAAAAAGACAAACCCCTGTTCTTTACTAAAGGAAAAAAATCCTCTGTTTAAATCCTATGCAACATTCAATGATCCAT